TATGACTTGTGGTCGGATGTCTTTCTGGTTCAGAGAGAGGGAAAATGTGGAAAGACAGTGAAACCAGTCATCCTGAATACTCAAAGGTGCTAGAGACCTTTTTGAATGAGGAGAAGCTCTTTTCGTGCAATTAGATAAGCCTTTTCCCTAAGAGCACAGAAGATGATCACTAGCCGATGTCTGCTGAATGGGAGGGTACGTGAGGAGCACTGGTTAAAAACACCCACCAGGACCCAAACTGGCTGATTCTTTTTTTGGGCAAAAGGTAGAAAATGAATAGTTTGGCATCTATCCAGTTATCTAACACAGACATGAATATTTTTTCCTTGCAGTTCCTCTTAGGCCACTTTAAGAGATCAAGTAAATTTCCACCAAGAATGTACTCATGTATTTGGTAAAATCCAATGTTTGGATCATTTCTTCATTACGGTGTTTTAGATTTCCTGCATAGGATAGTTATATATGTTTTATGAGGAGATGATGTCCTCTTTGGAAGGATAGTAGCCTTGACTAAAATAAATAGAATCCAAAGAAAGAGGCCAATGTGTGGTAGGGAAGAATGATTTTCAGATTTCCTCCAGTGTATAGTTCTATATAAAAGAACATCAGATCCCTGCCTAACTTTAAGTGTGATTATTGTTTGCGAACATGCTTCTCAACTTCAGGGGTATGCAACTGAGAAACATACTCTTTTCAGTTATCACTGCTACAAAACAAATCATCCCAAAACGTAGTGGCTGAAAACAATTTATTCTCATAATTTTGTGGGTGGGCTGGGCACAGCTGGGCAGTTATGCTAGTCTCACTTATTTGGCTATATTCAGCTGGTGGCTGCACTGAGTTGGAAAGTCCAAGAAGGCTTTACTGGTCCCTTGGTGTTCCTCCTGTGGCCTCTTTCTCTTCATAGGGTATCTTGTCATCTGGAGGTCTAGTCTAAGCTTCTTTACAGCATGGTGGCTGGCTTCCCCAGAGAGAGAAAGCAGAAGTTGCCAGGCCTTTCACGACCTAGGCCCCAAAATAGCACAGTGGGACATCTGCTGCATTCTCTTTGTCTAAGGAAGTCACTAGTCACAAGGTGAGGAGAAGGGAGGGAGACTTCACCTCTTGATAAAAGGAATGGCAAAGTGTCATTGCAAAAGGCCTTGGGATGGGAGAAATCCTTGCAGTCAGCGTTGGAAAGAATCTACTATACTCTCTCAACACAGCACTATTAAAAATAATGAAAGCAGAAAGATTAGTTCAAGAGAAAATTAAAAACCTCATTCATTATTTTACTAATTGTTTTCTCTCTTTTGATCATTGGTCTAAGTTTGGTCTTTGAGACTCTTCAACTTTTTAAACCCACAACAGAAACTATTGTGACGATTTGGAATCGAAGTTGCAAGAAAATTTCATATTTTGTAGCTTATGTATTGGGAAGGGTCAGAGAAATATTTTGATGAATTGAAAGAAAAAAAATCTTATAGCCTCAAAGTAAATGTTCTCAGGAATAAACATCTATTGGGTTGGACTGGAAAAGATTTTCTTAGTTTTTCCATTTGTGAAAATTGCCAACTCAAGGCACAAAAAGGAAGAGTTGCTATACCAACTGTTCAAATAGTCCAACTGAGAGGAAATGAAATAACAAGTTCTGAAGTTTATATGTGAATATGACAGTTTTTCTCATTTAAATACAAAGTATTAGGCAATGGACTAATAGGTGAGTTGAACAGAAATAAGGAGACAGAAATATTTCTAACTTTTATTAAAATAAACTAAAGAACATATTCAGGTTGAGTTATATATACAAATGTAAGGTCACCAAAGTATTTAAGCCCATATTTAGGTTTTCCAAACATCTTCAGCTAAATTTTTAAAATATTACGTATATTTAACATAATAACTAAAACTGCTTTGTAGTGAATTGTTTCTGCGGTATAAGTTGTCATTATGCTAATTATTGTGTGCTAATTAATATTACAGCTACAAGTTCACGCGGTTTGAAATAGACCTGCTTCTCTACTAATAGATTCTAAAATCTTCAATGTGACAGTATTGAGAGACACGGTCAGTGACTAGTGTTCACAACAGAAAAGAAAAATTGTAACTTTAATAAATACAAGTTGTTTCTACTCCTGTTAAGTACGATAACCAAATCTCAGCTTGAGTAGATTACAGGTTAAATATAAAGTAGACTGAAACTGAGTCTCTGCTGCTCAAATATAAAACTGGTATAATTTAGACATATTTGTAGAATTTCCTTAAGTTACCATTTACTGAAAGCATTAAAAGTTTTGCTGAAGTTAGAAATGTCCTCAGTGTTCTTTGCCTTAATGGATATCTTAAATTAGTATTTCACAGCATATGTATCATTTCCCAGCTAATTAGAGTTATATATTAAAACATCAAAGAATGATCACATATTACTCTGCATTTTAAAAGCACACCTGTTTTATTTAATTAAAATTTAGTGATAATTAGCTTTAAAATCCACTCTAGTTTATAAAATTGAACCTCCATTAGTTGCAAACTTCTATTGACGTGATAGAACTAGCAGGGAGTGGTTGTGTGTATGTGTGTGTGTGAGTGTGAAAGCAAGCAAGCGAGGGAGAGATGAGAGATGGGGAGGGAGAGGGGGGAGACAGAGACACAGAGAGAGAGAGAGAGATCTAGCTCCTCTCTAGAAAGCCTCTTCTAGTGGGAGAAATGTCCAGGACAGAAACGCCATGTGCTATGGAGAATCATGGAAGTCCACAGCTGAATGGGAGCCCTAGAAATCACCTAGCTTATCTCTTCCTTTATTTTTCAAATGAGAAAATGAAGGCACAGAACAGTTAAACGTTGTGACAAGGCTACACGGAGAATTGCAAGCCAGTCAAGAACCTGGTGTCCTAACGCCCAGACCAAATGATAAGTCTATTATTCTTTAACCTACCACTGGTAAAGACTTTGTCTTCTACTAAAACAAGAATGAAGTTGATGAGTTCATGATTTTATTAGGAAACAAACACCCACACTCACACACACATACACACACACCCAGAACATTACTTTATCGTGTGTGGCATTTTATCTTTATGTCTTAATTGTATGCATCACACATTTATATGTAATGCATACGTATGCATTATAAATCAGAATCTGTGATTCAGTTAATACTTATACTGACTCCCCAATTTTTTCAAGATTTTAAGGTTTGTGCAGTTGTACGATCATTCCTCTTCTGGTAGTATGTTTTAATTAACAAAAAAAAGTTTTTTGGTCTTTTTGTTGTTGTTTTGTTTTGTTTTTTCTTTTGAGAATTCTGTGCCATTCAAGTTGTTCAGAAACCAGGATTGGAAATCATTGGTAGTGACAAATGAATAAGAAAGTGCCATCTTTTTGAACAACTGTAATTCCATGGCAAGTAAGCTAAAGAACCACAAAAAATCTTCAGAGTTGAGAATTTTTTCAAAATAACTTATTAATTTTTTTAGGTCTTGTAGTTTGGGAGATCTGCAGAGCAATGAAGAGCCGTGATATGGCTGACTTAGAAGGGGGATAGTCTACTCTCTGCTCACCTCTTTCTTTCCTGCCTGAGAGCTTTGTTTGCACCCCTTCCTCAATTATCTCCCTAATCCAAAGCATGCAAAAACCTCTTGAATACAATTTTTTAACAATTCAGTCTAGTTAAAATAATCCCCAAAAAGTGACCCCCTAAGAGGGCTTTGTGGTTGGGGGCAAGTTGGAACAAGTGCAGTCAAATATGACCAGGACTGAAAGGAGCCCAAAGGCAGAGTCCAAGCAAGTAGACTCCCAGGGCTGATAAAGGTCTAATGAAACGTCCTTTTCTATGGTGTATTTCCTTCTTCCCTGAAGCAGCAGCAGGAGCACAAAGAACTAAAGTCCGCATTTTCAATTCTCTGTAAAGTGCTCTGCAAACCAAATAAAACGAACTGCTTGGCTGCTTGGAGATTCTCAGGTACGATGTGGAAAGTCTGAGGAAACCAGGGTGCGAAGAGATCACGCCTGGGAGTGGAGAGAGGGGGAGCATTCAGGTGGTGCTGCTCACCATGATGGCTCAATACTTGGATGGCACCAGGAAAGAGCTATATACATAAATTAAAAAGCTTGAAAGCTGGCACAGGTGAGACAAGTCACAGGTGAGCCAGAAACCTCACAAGAATGTAAAGGAAATGCGTGGTTACAGAATTGTGTGGGCTTCTGTGAAGAGCCCGATGAGTTTTACAGAAGTCATTACTTAATTTGGGCACTACATGCTGAAGCGCAACTATCTTCCATGTGGCTGAGAAATGCAAGGGAGTATGTGCAGCACCGAAGTGAGAAACAGGCACTTAAAACAGAAAAGAGTTGTAGGTTGAGGTCTGTGCGCCTGCATGATTCCGAGGCGGGTAGCCCAGGGAAAGGGCCAGTGTGCAAATGTTACTCGGATGATTGTTTTTCTTCACGGTAAAAGGACTGCAACAGAGCACTTTCCTAAGCATTAGATGCTTTCTCCTCTTTCCCCCTCCCCAGTGATCTCTAAATGATGAATTTGTCTATGGAAAAAAAAATTGAGAGAGAAAAACGCCAGTTTGCAGTAATTCTTAAATGTAAGCAAAACTAAGAAATGACAGTCACCCTATCAACCGTTTGAAGCATGATTATAAGCAAAATGGGAACTGGAGTTGTGTGCTGTGTTCTGAATTTCTGAGTGTGTTTGTCTGTGTGTGTGTGTGTAATGTAATGTAGATATTTAGGAGAGCTGGAGCAGGATGAGTAGTTTGGCAATAAGAAGGCTTACATGAGGAGCGCCTGGGTGGCTCAGGCGTTAAGTGTCTGCCTTAGGCTCGGGTCGTGATCCCAGGGTCCTGAGATCGAGCCCTGCATCGAGCCCCGCATCGAGCCCCGCATCAGGCTCCCTGCTCCGCGGGAAGCCTGCTTCTCCCTCTCCCACTCCCCCTGCTTGTGTTCCCTCTCTCGCTATGTCTCTCTCTGTCGAATAAATAAATAAAATCTTTAAAAAAAAAAGAAGGCTTACATGATAAAAACACTATGGAAGTTAAAAAGAAATCTTTCAGCGAAGTTGCCGTTTATCTTTTATTTCTCATTTTCCTTGCTCCTGTGGCATCATTTAATTAAAAACGCAAGAAACATACAAATCTGAAGAGGCACATTCTTGATGATAAAATGACAAGAGGAAGACCAAAGAAGCTTAGAGTCACACTAAGCATGTTAAATGGCCAAATAAGCCCATTTAGAATGTCCTTCCAGTGAGCAAGAAACCCCTGTTGAGATGCCATAATTCCTAAGTAAAGAGATGCTCCTCCCGAATAACTGAACAAGATTCTCTAGCAGTTTCCACAGCCATGTTTATAAGTGCAATAAACTTTTAGAGGTGAACAGAAGATGTTAGTGTGATTTCCTAAAAACAATTTATGCTTGGCGTATAGTGCCAGATACATGGCATTTCTTGGAATTATGTGTATTTGCAAAATTTGACAACGTTCAGGTAAGCATGCCAGACCCAGGAGCAGAAAAGAGTTAATGAAATAATCTTAATAGTTATTGAAACATCACTATTTTGTGCCTTTATGCCAGGCAGTGATAGACAACCCCATGCTATTATTTTATATGAGTTCCTTGCTAGCAAACGAAAAGCCCCTTAAACAGACTGCCTCATTCTTTGATGTCTAAGATAAAAGGCATCTATCATGATGTTTCAAAACTTATAAACATATATGTATATATGTGTACATATGTATGTATGTATTTAGGTGTATCTGTCAAGTGTACTTGGGAAAATATCCCAGTGTAAACGGGGCTTACCTACTGTGGTGTTTTGTTTGTTTGCTTCCTCTTTTTGGTGGGAGACACAAAGAAGTTAACTGAACGACAATCTTTCTGTTGTTGGAAGCACTTACAAACCTGATCTGCTCATGATACACAAGTTTAGGGCTGCACAAGTTCACACAGGCTATGGATTCAAAGGTTTGGAAGAATATCGACTGTGAACTAAATATTTAGGACACGCACCCAACAGGATACATCTAGGTACTGAGATGATCGAGCCAGGAAAAAGAATAAGAAACGATGATGTTCCAAAGGACAGCATTAGAGTCAGCAGTCGGTTATCATAGGGCATTATGTCATGAGGATGGTAATTCCTTGTAGTTCCTTATTTGCTATGTAAATGTATGGAATTTTCTCTGACTTGCTTTAAAATTAGAATCGTCAGTGTCTCATGAGACAAAGTAGAGTCTGCCCTGGAATCGAGGGATAAACCTACATGACATTTCAAGGTTCCCTTCCTACACCAATATAAAATTCAGCATTACTCAACAGACTTGGTTACAATAAGCGTGAATTAAAATGCAGAAACATAATGTCATTCCTTACACAAAAACAGCTAGGCAAGCTATTTGATAATGCTCTAAGACATTATGTGGTCAGGTAAACCAAAATGACATATGTAAATCTTTTCCAACAATCAACGTACAAGCCCACAAACTCTCACTATAAATTGCCTCGGGAGGGGCTGCTCTGATGAAATGGAAATGTCTCCTCCATATGTGCAGTTTCAGACTCTATAACATTTAAAGAAAATGTTCTAAAAGATAAAGTTGGCATGTAAAAAGCACGGGCAGAGGAATCAGTAATGATCAGAGCAAAACAATTCTAGAAGGCATCTTAATTTTCATATGGCTCATTTGCATTTGAAACACTGAGAATTCCTATCTCTTTTGTACAAAAATGTGTACATATTAAATTACTTTCCACTTGAAAGAACATTTTCCTAAATGTTTGGAAGATGATCAAATTTTAACTGGAGGACTTGTTTTCTTCCATCAGGTGTGGGGGAGATGTGGCTTCCTGGTATGAGAGGCAACAGTTGATTCTAATAGCAGAACAAGACAAAAATAAGAAAGTAAATGGAAAAGAATTCCTATTTGTACAATTTGATTTAAAGATGGCAAAACAAAAAGGATACATATGATACAAAGATGTCAAAAGACATCAATTTAAAATCAAATAGGGTTACCTTTCCAAAAATTGTGATATTCTGATACTTGAAAATTAGGTTCTATTACTTATTCTAGGATTCTCATGGATGTAGCTGATTTATTTCAGTATGTTTATCTCTGAGTATCTAGTCCGTGTTTAAAAGTTAGATGCCCCCCAGCTTTTAGACAATAATTTCAAGAGTCTACATTCTACCTATCTTAAATTTTTAATTTTAGGATATTAATTTTAGGATATTTGACAGAACAGTAAAGATTTAAAACCTCTTTACTATCAATTTTAAACAATATTTAGTCTTAAGGAAATTGTTGGTTACTCACTCAGAGATCTAGAAGTTGGTATCCAGGGGGAAATTTGAACTCACAAAGTGAAACCACATTGAATGGAAAGATCTTTTTGAATTTTTAGTTTATTTTCTGATATGATAAAATGTTTAGGGAAGAGGCTCATGTTCAGAAAGAAAACCAGAACCTGAAAGACATCCCTGCCTTTCTCCTGGCCTTGCTCTCCAGAGACTTCACCTGGTGGCCGGAGATGCTTAGCCATGGTCTCAATGGTGGGGGCTCTAGTAAGGCTTCCTCCTGAAGTGGGAGAGGATGCAGTTGATGAAGGACTGAGAACATGACCTGAGTTCTGTAAATGAGATTATCTAGGTCTATGCTGCTCTTTGTGCTTCTTTTCCTTTTGGAGAAATAAAGTTCCCGATCTGCATCAGCTGGGCTATGGGGTATGAAGGAATGGGGAACACAGCTGTGAACGGGAGACTCCCAGGGAGAGGAGCATCGGCACCTCCTCAAGGCAAGGCTGGTAAAAGCGCAGTCAGGAACCAAGGGCCAGGATGGGGTACTGCTGCTCTTCACCCTCCCAGGCCAAGCAGGGGGAATCTGGTGACATGTTTTTTTTAAGGAGACAGTGTTTTTACACACAATTCACCCTGTATTTCAAACTGCTGCCTCAGACTTATTTGAGCAAACCCTAATCTTTTGGTTAAGTAAAGTGCATTGGGCTTGACTTGCAAACGCATAACTTAAAACAGTAAAAGATAAAATGGTCTATGTAGTAAAAATTTGAAAATCATCTTAACATGTCGTCTTGTTGGTTAGTTTGATCTTTCTCTCTCAACAAACTTCGATTTTAATTATTAAAATGGTGGAAAAAAAACAACCACCACCTGCTTTCTTCCTTTATGGTAGACATGCTAATGAGAAGATAAATGACCAATAAGTAGATCAAAGGTGGAAGCTGAAGCAAACATAGAATGGGATGATTGTCCGTCTGGTAACTTGAAAGTTACATCTTTGTTTATTAATAAGCAATGTTCAGCTATTTATTTATTTGGATAATATTTACTGAGTACCTTCTATAGGTCAGACACTGTTTTAGGTGCTGGGGACACAAGATGAAAAATAAACCCCAAACCAAAACAAACCTACTTCTGTGGGGTTTATGATTTAACCTCAAAGTTTTTCTGAAACCAAGTAAAGCAACAGTCACCTAAGAAACTGCAGAATCAAGGTTTGTCATATTCATCATATTATTCTACTATACTGGCACATTTTAGGATAGAATTTGGTTCTTAGGCGTTTGAGTTTCATCTCTTAGTATTTGCCAGAGCTTGTCCTTGGTTTTGAGGAAAAGCTTAGGGAAGGTAGGCTTAGGTGCCTGCCATCGGTAAAAAGACGGGAAGAGTTGAGTTTCCTTTATGGTGTGTCTGGAGGCGAGAGAGGGTCCTGGGCTTTCCTTGGTAACGTTCAAACTCAGTCCTGCTGTAATCAGGGTTTTATTGTATGAAGTTGTTGTATTTTGGGTATATGAACTATCCAATCAGCATGGCAAAAAGTTGAGCAATACTTTGATTCAAGTATATTTGGAATAAGATTTTGCAACAAACTTGGATATTTTCATAGTTTTTTTTTTTAAGATTTTTTTTTTTTTTTTTTGCGTGAGAGAGAATGAGAGACAGAGAACATGAGAGGGAGGAGGGTCAGAGGGAGAAGCAGACTCCCCGCTGAGCAGGGAGCCCGATGTGGGACTCGATCCCGGGACTCCAGGATCATGACCTGAGCTGAAGGCAGTCGCTTAACCAACTGAGCCACCCAGGCGCCCGGATATTTTCATAGTTTTATGGTTTTATTACATCAATCACCAAAATTTATTAAGATAAACAAATACAACTAAACCAGTGCAAAGAAAGGTCTTGGTGTCTACCTAGTCTCACTTTGAAAAGTAGAAAAAGAAAAAAAAAAGAATCATTTTTATAGCACTTTAACTTTTGAACAGAGGTACCTGCTGGCGTCTTCTGTTTCTTACTTCAGTACGTGCTTTTCTTTTAATTTGGTCCTCGTGAAAAGAATCAAAGTAGGGGCTCTCCAGGAGTTGGGCACAGGTTAATCTGTCATCAGGATTCATCTTCAGACACTCCTTTGGAAGAAAAGAAAGTATTAAAAGGGGGGCCTATTTTGTTACTGTGACCTGAAACTGAAAAACTTGTTAGAGCAAATATGAGTTTAGAAAATCTTCAGGTTTGTATATTACCAAGTACTTGAAACTTGTTAATAACTAGAATTGCTTTTCTTTTGCCATTTCAAAGTCTTGAGGGTAGAACTGAACATTCAGTGTCCCTGGAAGGGGGCTACAACTAGAGCAGGTGTTTCTTTTTTCCCCCAAAGATTTCATTTATTTGTCAGAGAGAGATACAGAGCACAAGCAGGGGGAGGGGCAGGCAAAGGGAGAGGGAGAAGCAGACTCCCCGCTGAGCAGGGAGCCCAATGCGGGGATCATGACCTGAGCTGAAGGCAGACACTCAACTGACTGAGCCACCCAGGCATCCCGTAGATCAGATGTTTCTACCAATGACACCTCTTCATCACTTGTCAAAGCACATAGTTTGCGTGACACTTCAAGTGTGATCCCGAGCGTGATCCCAGGACCAGCTGCATCAGCATTACCTGGGAACTTGTTGTAAATGCAGTTCCTGATCAGTCAAAAGCACTGGGGGAGGGCTAGGGCTACTAGAGGCTACTAGAAGCCTCTAGCTTTGCCTCCAAGAGAAGGGAGGACTCTGGCAGCATCGGGGCTGGTGGAGTCCCGTCACAAAGATTTTCTTCAAGAAGCCCTGATGCTCTTTGGCCAGAAAATGGGGCTTTTCCCATGAAGAAAGACAGATTATGATCCATAAGAAATTAGAACAGCCTTAGAACACCCAGGCACAGGAGACCTGAAATTTCCTGCCTTACGGCCATGAAAGAGAAGTAAAACTTATCAACATAACAGACTTAGTTTGAGGCATTTGGGTGTCCAGATAATTATTTTGACTGAGGCTGCCCTGTCGTGTCCATTCCTCCCTAACCCCAGCTGACCTCAGGTCTCTGAGATCCCTGCAAATGCTGCCACCCCTATAGTCTCACCTGCCCTTCAGAGCCGTGTCTGATTGGACCTGGCTTTAAGTAACAACCCTACTCGGCATAATCAGCATAATCAGATTCACCTGTCCCTTCAGAGCGTCACCTGCTCCAAGCAGATCCCACCCCACCCTCATGTTAATGATCCATACCATAATTAAGTCTAACTGCTATTGGGGGTCTGTCTCCTCAAAGCCTAACACTGTCAGGACTGTAACCAGCACAGAAAAACTGATATTCCAGGATTCTGAATATAAACAGTAGTGGTCTATTTCTTCATCACTTCGTTCTGGCTTTTGCCTCCATCATTCCACTTAAGTGACTCCTGTTGTTCATACCTATGACTTCCATATTCATAAATCCAATAGGTAGGTCGTGTTCTCATCTCCAGTGTTAGACGCGACTGACCACATCCTCCTCCTTGAAACTTCCCTTGGCTTCTTGATGCCTCCCTTTCCTTCTCCTTACCTCGTGACCACCCCTTCTCAAACCAGCCTGTGTTAGTTTACCTTCTCCACAATGGGTGGGTGGAACTCCTCCAGGCTCAGTCCTAGGCTCTCCTTTCTCCTCTCTGTTTCTAGCTAATCGCACTGATTCTTAAGTCTTCAATTATTAAGGTTTATCAGGGACTTCCACATGTATATTTCTGGTCCAGACCTCTCCTTTGAACTCCAGACCCACATATGCAGTGGCCTACTTAACAGTTCTGATTTGTCTCAAGGGCACTGTTACGGATTGACTATGTTGAAATCCTAACCCCCAATACCTCATCATGTGATCTTATTTGGAAATAGGGTCTTTGCAAATGTAAATGGTTAAGATAAGGTCATACTGGAATAGGGTGGGCCCTAATCCAATGGGATGGTGTTCTTACAAGAGGGAAGACACTACAAAGACAGACATCGAGAAAACACCAGAAGACAGAGACAGAAATTGGAGTTCTGTCATAAGCTCAAGAATGTCTGGGGCTAACAGAAGCTGGTAGAGGCCAGGAAGGATCCACCCTAAAAGCTTCAGAGAGCGTGGCCCTGTCAACATCTTGATTTGAGTCTTCTAGTCATCAGAATTGTGAGAATAAATTTCTGTTGCTTGCAGTCACCCAGTTTGTGGCACTTTGTTACAACAGCTCTAGGAAACTGGTACAGATATCTCATGGTTGCCGCCCTCCTCTACTCACTCCCCAGATCTGAATCATAACGAAGTCCTATCAGTTTTATTTCCAATCATATGTTGAATTCATTCACTTTCTTTAATGGGCTTTCAATCTATTGAAATCTGGTCTACTAAATACCTATGGGTTTTTAGTTTAAAGAACATTTTTAGATTCTAAGAATAAGCTGCTAATGCTGAGCTGTTCCTTGGGCCTGGGCTAGAACTATATCCTATTTTGTTCTAGGAGCAGTGAGATGAATTGGGTGGAGTTGAGGCTTCTGAGTTGTTGAGCCTGGATTAATACCTTTCTATACACCTAGAGGCCGATGAATTCTCAGAGGTGTTGTTCCCTGATCAGAGTGTTCCCAACCCAGGAAAGGTTTTTATGATGAAGGACAAGAAATTGGAACTGCAAAGTACATGTCAGGATCCTTTTCTTGAAACTTCAGATGTCAATAGAAAAGCCTTAAAAATATTTCCAAGAGCCTACAGACTTCTTCTTTGGCCAGATTAAACTAATACAGTGATAGGATGTTATGGCTATGAAAGCAACTGAGAAATAAATAATACTGTGTCTGTTGTCTCAGTTAAAACCAAATGAGGAGAAACACACAAGCTCTGCCATAGATTGGCTACTCCATGCCACCACTGACTTTGGCACCGTCATTGGCTGGCACTTCATGCATTTGAGCAGGCGCCTGCATAGATGATGGCCTAGTCCCATGGGATGACTACCTATTATAGTAGCTGGTTTTTGTTATTAAAGATGTCTCAATTGCAATTAGTGAAAGAAAGCCTTCCTTCATCTAGCCTGGGGTAGAAGTCTAGGAGAAAGGGTGTGACCCACGGAACAGCACAATCCTTGATGCACTTAGAGAATCCTTGGGTCTCAGGTCAGACATTACAGGTATAAATCAAATGGTTGAGCGACAAAACTAGCTTCATCCAGAACTGGGCAGGCAAACAGGCCACTTCACCTTTGGAGCTGAGGACAGGGAGTTTGTCCTATACCTTGGAGTTTTTCTGCCCTGGAGTTGCCTTCCAGGAAGTTTTCTCTCTCGTTAGTTAGAGAAGTAACTAGCAGAAGGCTCGGCCTACACCTGAGAATGGGTTGGGTTTGCGGTGCTTGACAGATACCCTCCCCACAGGAGGTCTTGCTAAATTGCAGATGGGTCAGAACAACCTGTCCAGAACAAGGTTGGGAAATTGGAGTTCTAGGACAGGGCCTGCAGGGTGCTGGGTTAAGGCAGGTCAGAGCAGGGAGACAGAGAGAAGGCAGCGGAGGGCCAGTGAAGTACTGGTCAGTGCAGTCTGAAGGCACAGAGGTGTCAGGCTTTCAGGAGGACTCAGACCAAAGGAATCCAGCACCTTGGATAGCACCTTAGCAGTGACCACCATTAGCACAATGGCAGGTCTACACATTTGACTCTAGGTCATCCAGGTGGCTCTGCCTTCTAGATCAGATGACTTCTGAGCTAGGCTGTGTACCATAGTCACCTAGAGGGATGTTTAAAGATACAAATTCCAAGGTCCTATACAGAGAGATTTTGCTTCTGTAACGCTGAGGTTAGATACTGGAATGTATATTTTTAAAAAGTTCATTCTGATGAGTCGTCATTCTGATGAATAGTATGGAAACCACTGCTATAGATAGAACTTAATTGGTTGCTAAAGATAGATACCTTTACTGATATCTCCATCCGTATTCCACTAAGAGCTTTCAGTATCCACAGTGGAGGTAAGAGTCACATCTTATAGCATGGGTCAGTTGGTCAAGCATGAATGGCAGACTAGTCATAGGTGAATTTCTTCTGCTTTTTATTAGAATTTATCCTTTGTCTGACTATTTCTTTTGGGCCTAGTGAAAGAGCTATATCTGGTGTCTGCATGTCTCTGAGTTTGCCTGGTCTACTAATTTAAAACAAAAAAAGATTTTAAATTTTATTTAACCCAATGTATCTAAAACATTATCAGTTCAACATGTAATTAATATCCTAGAACTTCTTAGTGAAATATTTAATATTCTTTTTTATAGTAATTTTCATAGAAATCTAGTACATCTTCATTCAAATTAGCCATATTTCAAGTGTTCAACAGTAATAGGTAGCTAGTGACTACCATATTGGACAGTACAGTTCTAGACCTTCAAACATTCATCCTCATAAATTTCCATAGTCTGAATATACTGACATAACAGTCAAATTTCCTAATAAATGCAAAAGAAGTAATGGTGTTCATCACAGCAAATTCTAATTATACTCTTCTGTCTTTGACTAGTTTTAATGGATATGTTAGAAAGATTACTACTTCAAATACTGATGTTCTTTAACCATAATTATTTTACAGTTCCTTATTATGTTGAATGACTAGTTGGCATTATTTGCCCTACTGTCAATCCCTCCCAGAGTTACCAGCTTCAATTATTACAATTTGCTGTCAATAATGGTTATAATTAATTCTTAAGTACCTGCATGAAATTCAAAGACATGGGATGAGCATCTGAGAACTTTTCTTCAAGAGTTTCCTAGAAAACAAAATAAAGAATTTCAATGTTACATAACAACAAAGTTATGTTTATTTTGAATATATTAGAAATAAGAACACTTTGGAGAAAGACCTCCCCTAGTAGGTTAGATAATTCCTTTTAAGGACTTTTTTTAAAGTCCTATTTTTATATAATTTTACACTATAGTATAAAGGTTTAAAAGACAAAAACTGGAATTATTTTCTTAATTTCACAATGTCTTACATGTCTTGCAATTGATGCTTGGTGAATGTGAGTTCCAAATATCCCTGAAATCCTACAACATTATTTTATTTTTCAAAGATTTTATTTACTTATTTAACAGAAAGAGAGAGCACGCACACACAAGCAGGGGGAGCTGCAGGCAGAGGCAGAGGGAGAAGCAGGCTCCCCGCTGAGCAGAGAGCCCGATGTGGGACTGGATCCCAGGACCCTGGGATCATGACCTAAGCCAAAGGCAGATGCTTAACTGACTGAGCCACCCAGGTGCCCCTACAACAGTACTTTAATATCTGTGCAGATTTACTTATGGGGATGCTCTGAGCATTAATGAAAATGTGTTGAACTACATGTGTATGAGCACTATAGAAAGCAAGAGAATGATAAACACAAAATTCAGAATAGTAGGGAAGGAAGAGAATGGGATCAAGGGAGGAGCACATAGGGAAGGGGAAGCTCCAAAGATAATGGTAATAGTCTCCTTTATGTTTTTTAAATTTTTTTTTAACTTTTCTTTTCTTTTTTTTAAGTAGGCTGTTCCCCCAGTGTGGAGCCCAACGCAGAGCCTGAACTCGCAACCCTGAGATCAAGACCTGAGCCGAGATCGAGTTAGACGCTCAACCAACTGAGCCACCCAGGTGCCTGGGTAATAGTCTCCTTTAACTAGGCACCAGGTACTTGTGAATTTGTATTTAAACTAAACTGTTACATAAATATTCTTTTGTAATTCAACCTCTAGCCTTGTTAATTCAATTTTAACCTTTTGTTATATTTGTTAAAGCCTTTAACAAACATAGGGGCGTCTGGGCAGTGCAATTGGTTAAGCGGCTGACTCTTGGTTTCGGCTCAGGTCATGATCTCAGGGTCCTAGGATGGAGCCCTGGGTCGGGATCCATGCTCAGCATGGAAGTCTGCTAAAGTTTCTCTCTCCCTCTCTCTCTGCAACCCTCCCACTCGCTCATTCGTGCCCTCTCTCTCAAATAAATAAACCTTAAAAAAAAAAGCTTTAACAAATATAAAAGAAAGAAATCTATAATATATCAAGGTATTACATGAAATACCGAATTTAAAATGAACAAGGTGTCTAGAAATAGTCGGGATTGTTCGAACCTCGGATTGTTCCCACAGCCATAAATCATGATGTGGCTTTACAGACTTCCCCATCCCTGCTCCACTCTCGTACCAACACACAGCCCGAATGTGGGCACACACCTCTTCTGACAGTCCTTTCATTCTACAGGCAGAATTTAGACCACTTGGAGCTTTAAAAATCATAGCCCACGCTTAGGTGACACAGACAGATCAATGTCTGTAGAGACTAAGATGGCAAGTAGTCATGGACACATTCCCAAAGAAAGGCAAAGACCACAGCAAGAGCATAGCAATGATCAGTGTGGTCTGGAGTTTTGATTTGGGTACAATGAGGGTCATTTTGTAGAATGACTTTCCACATGAAAATATCCGCTGTGAAGAAATGGTTTTTATGGACTTGGGCTTTGTTTTACAAGCTGAAAAAATAGAGAAGACTACAGTAAGTACTGTTTAACAACAGATAATTATTTCAGGGGAAGGTGCTGAGCGTTTTGACTAAAAGGATCAAGGTATTTATGTAAGGAACTAAATATAGTTTCGCTTCAAATTTAACATTAAGTTAATCTTTGACTAGATAGGGCAAGTAGACTTTTAAAGCATTCTCTTGGTTAATTTATGCTGTTTTATATAACTTCTTTGATCTGTCTCAGTGTGCCAGAAGGAAAACAGGACCCAAAAGTACAGATATTGTGAAAAATACCCCTTTAAAGAAAGTTGCAACACAAATAATAAAACGTCCAAGATTGAGCAGTTTACCATGTCTTCTGGCTCAGGAATACTGATGCCATGGAAAAACTGGTTACTTTTGAAGATAGACTGATGTCTTGGGATTAGTTTTCCTGCAAAATACAAACCATGTAACTCATGACAAATTTAATAAAAATAAAAGTGTTTAAATGGTTAACTTCTGAGGTCCAGATACACAAGAAATACTGAGCCTGATCATTCCTTCCCGATTCGGGAGGAGCGAGTCGCTGCAAAAACAGGCCTCCTCAGGGCAGGGCAGGCCTCCCATGCAACTGGCTTTACCACAGGCGGCTCAGTCTGCCACTCAGCCCCCCCGCCAAACGCGGAGGTCAGAAAACCGTGCTCAGGGCTTTACACATGTGATCGCATAACTCTCTCACAGCAGTTGCTATTTTTAATGAGCAAAATGAGGCTCAGAAGTTCAATAACCTGCTAAATTTGCATGGTGATTAAGAGACAGACGCAGGATTCACCCTCAGGTCTGTCTCATGTGTGCTGCATGTAAATTTCCACAGTCCTTCTGGGAAATCAATCAAACAATATATACTGAACGTGTGGCCTGTGGTGCTCCTCTACCCTACATTTTTCATGCTGTAGAATTCTCCGGAAGAATGCACTGGAACCAAACAGGGACCTGCATCAGACCACACAGCAGTGCTTCCATCGCCCAGCAGCCGGGCTGCCAGGACAGGCCAGGGGCAGGAAATAATAAACACCCATCGGGTGTGTAGATGTGTCGCTTTCCTTGTGTCCGTGCTGCTTCGTGTGAAGCTGCAGCTGACCTTCTGGGTCATGTCCTCTTCCAACTGCCACGGATGCTGACACATGGTGGAAGCTTATGAGAGAGGCCCCCTGAGTCCCATTCCTGCTCTGCATGTAATTTGTAGGACTTCAGGCCAATCATGGAAGCTCCCTGAGCCTCAGTTTCCTCATTTGTAACATAGGCACAATTAAAAATGTTATACTGATCTTAATGGGTTTTTCTTAAGACTGGAAGAGATGATGTGTGCGAAAGTAACTTGTAAATTCTCAAGTGCTGTACGAAGGAGCAGAGTTGAAGAGTTGCAACGGAGACAGTATAGCCTACAAAACCTAAAATATTTATCATCAGGCCCTTTATAGAAAAGTCTGCTGACCCCTGCTCTAGAGTAAAGGGGGGGAACCCCTCCTTTGCAGTGGGCAGAAATGACATTTGATCAAATATCTCTTAGAGTCTGTTCTGTGCAGATGACTCACATCCTTGTTCCTATCTTAGCCTAACAGGGAAAGTAAGTGGATAGTTTATCCAAGGCTAATTGACTTGACTTGGAAAGGCACCTGAGAGCTCCTCACTGAGCAGAGTTACGGCTCCACATGGAGAAAATGGCTGGACTTTGGTGACAACCCAGCACAAGCAACCGAGTAGCACTTCGGAGAAGCAAGAAAGCTCTTGTTGTTCATTACAGTGATGTCCTATCGCTGTAACAATCGAGCAACTCTGGAAGCCATAAAATGCAACTCCTACCCAGTGTTCTGATGATCAGATAAAGCTGGTCCACATCTGATTTTCCAGGCCAGAGTGGCTGGCCCGTCAGAAGCTCTGCAGAAACGCAACCAGTGGCCCACACATCTACAGAAGAACCGTACTGCGTATCTCCCACAAGAAGTTCAGGAGCTCGGTACCACCGTGTTGCCACGTAATCGGTGTAGGCGGCTCCTGGAACTGCAAATGCGTCAGTCAGATCGGGGTGGGGGGGGGGTCACATTCCCGTGACACGTGACCTACTCCCGGGAGCAGGTCAGGCATTCGGGCAAGCTACAGTAACTCCGAGGCCACAATACTCCTCACTGTTGTGGCAGCGAGGCACCAGCTGCCCAAATACTTCCGCTGTGCGCTCGAACAGTCAATTCAACTCCCAGGGGTCCCTCGGCTTAGTTAACATCAGTCTCATCCCACACAGAGGGGGGCGGGAATGAGGATTTCTGTAGTGGAACCTCAAGTTGAAACCAACTTCCAGGTGCACTGTGAAGCTACCTGCGTCTGTCCTACCAGGAAACTGGTTGTGTGCACACCCACCTTGCGGTGCGTTGCTGCTAACGCGTGTTGTTGCCTGCCGCACAGTTCTAGATTCAGGGAGAAATCGTGATCTGTTCTCCTTTCCCTTTGGTTCCCCCTGTCGGGGATGACTTCCTTTTTCTTAGCACTGTCTGAAGCCGCTCCTTAATTTTCTGCTTACTCTTCTAGTCTTACCAACCCCACGGGATTTTCCCGACCTCTCTGGGGCACAGTAATGTCTCCCTCCAGGGAACCATCTGCACCCTCGCTTTGGTACTTCCCTGCGAACCATCTCGTATTATTCTTTTGTTTCTTTTACTTCAGATAGTAAGTGCATGAAGAGCAGAAATGCATCTTATAACTCTTTTCCTCTACGAGGCAAAGCACATAAATATGACATCCAATAAATTGGAGTGGAGTGGAGCGGAGTTGCAGTGCACACCAAGGTACTGGCTAAAAGGTAAAAGTGAACTTTTCCTCTTTGAATAATCACAATGTTTGTCACACTTAGCATCTGTTCAATATCTAAAGTAAGAGTTTATATCATTTCATAATCATCTGAATTGGATAAGGGAAAAATTGCTACTTACTCAGAATTCGTGCAAACCCAAAGTCACAGATCTTGATTATTCCTTGCTTAGTTATTAGAATATTTTCAGGTTTTACGTCTCTGTGAATACACTGTAAGATAATATTTGATTATTTCTCTGAGTCATCAAAATGAAAGCATAATAAACATTAAATATTAGTTTAGATGATAAACATATGAGATAAAAACAATATGTTTTTCCTTCATTTTTCTAAAAGTTCTTTAATTGGCAAATTTTCACTCATAAATCTTATCACACCAAAAGAAGAAAAATCAAAATGCTGCTATATAAGCAAAGAAATTGAAATTATAATTGTTGGATAAGAAAACTTTTTTTTTTTTTGAGGTCGTGTCATACAATTATTTCTTCCACATTTTACTGGTCTCTACTTAAACTGCAAGAGGTAAAGCCCTAGATGAGATTAGACTTGATGTATCTTGATGCCGCCCAAGAATCTCAATTCAGGTTGAATAAGTATTGCAGATTTGAGAAATTGGAAAAACATTTGAATGATAACAAAGAAAATTTGCTTAAAAATTGGCTTGTAACTAGAGTGACCATATTATTTATCACCCAAATTGGGATGTATGAAAGGAGCGCTATTAGTAATTACGCCAGGAAAACAGGACCAAACCACAACTGTCCTGGGTAAGCTGGGAGGTACAGTCACCTACTTCTCAAGAGACGCTGAGCCTTCAGCATTGGGACGAGGACCACTGCCATTCTTCCTCAGCACTAAGCTAACCTGGGAGGATTAGCAGCTCTCCTGGGATATGACCACACAGCGCTGTCTGCCAGGGTCTGTCCTGGGAGAGCAGGACACCCCCGTGAGGCGTTCCCCCCTCACAGAGGCTCCCGTTATTCCTCTGTAGGCAGAGACCTTACAACTTGCTGCATCACTGTAAAGACCCTGAATGGAGCACGTACTCCTTGCTGGATGTGCGAGGGCCACACTGGGGTAAGGAGGCAGGCAGGCTGCATGAGCTGCACTCCTTGTTCTTCCAGAAATGGCTGCTCCATGGTGTGGAGGCCCTCCAAGAACACGGCTCAGGCCCTATTCTTCAGCACTTTATCTTTCCAGTTCTTCCTCCCAGACAAGCCAACGGATAAAACTGATGTTGTTCTTCTGCAGCTCAGCCTTCTTCTAGAGCCTCGTCCTTTTCAAGTCCTTGCATGTGAATTATTTCATTCCTGCCACAATCTTGTGACTGCAGGTGACCACTGACAGGGTCTCTGGATTGACTGTCACAGTAATCTGCTCCTTTTGCCTCATTCCTCTGCTGTGCTATCAGTCCCTGTATATATTCCTGCCACACTGACAATTCTGAAGTAATTTTTCTTTGCTTCTATGGTAGCTATCTGGGAAGATAAAAGGCTGAGTCCTAAATTCATTTTAGGTCACAAAAATGGCAGTGGTAACAGAAGCTCGTTCCTAGTTAGTCTCAATTATTGTCAACTGTCTCATAATTTGTATGACCAACAGAAGAAACTTCTAGGCCTCTTTAGAGTCCTAAGGCCTTTGATATTAATTAAAAAAAATACATTGCTATAATATAAACCAACATAGTTTTGAGGTCCTACCGTTTAAGCAACACATTTATGAAACTTGGATTAACACTCTGAGTCCTAGTCACAATAGTTGGTGATTTACTAGGATTAGGTTATGTTCCTCAAAAGAGTCTGCATCAAATTCTAAAATTTCTGGACTACGTGTGGCATTATCAGGCAAATGGACTTACACTGACACTTGTCTTTTGGTCTACTTAAATATGATTTTTGGACCTAGTGCAAATCCATGCAAAATTTTTAGCAATTTATTTTCCAACCAAAAAAATACCAAGGCAAATGAAGTACTGATGTGTCCCAAAGAAACAGAAAACTTACTGGTGTAGATGCAGGTAAGAGAAGCTACTAATGAAGAGGAAGAGGATACTGAAGAAAGCAAAAGAGAGTAAAAATGCCTGGAACAGTAGGAAGTCAAGCACGGAGAACGGAAGCCGCTTAATCCTACAACATTCGCTTTCTCTGCTGCAAAGCCACACTCTGTGCACACTTGGCAGTGCCTCGAGCAGTCAGTTTGCTTTCCACCAAACACCAAGAAGCCTGCAAGTCAGTGTGACACAAGCAGGGTTTTGTTTGTTTGTTTGTTTTTAAATAACTTGGGTTGCATACACAGCTTTTAGAAAATGTTCAAGTTGGGTTACTGTGGCTAATGTGTAATCTCATTTTTACTGGCTCACAAGTCAACAAGAAGAGGTACCGTGACCCTCAACTTTAAGAAACTCCAGAACTTTCACAAATTGCTTCTTGTAATACCTGATCAAATAAGTTTTTTTTTTTTTAAAGATTTTATTTTTAAAGTAATCTCTACACTTAGTGTGGGGCTTGAACTCACGACCCCAAAATCAGGAGTTGCACGCTCCACCAACTGTGCCAGCCAGGTGCCCCTAAATAATCGGTCTCTATTATCTGAGAAGGTTGTCCTCTTGAGGTTTAGAGATGGTTACTGATACAGCAGTGAGGAAAAGGACCTCCTTCTTCACAACCAGAACATTAGTATGAACAAGATGATGATGGATGTTGCAGCCTGATACACATATCTTGGAAGTCACTGTAGTTTTGTCATTTTGCAATGGACTTCTTTTTGTCTAATATATCAGGTATATAAAAATCCATGAGTTCATTATGATACTAAATGGGTCACTTCAGTTAACTCATTCTAGCAATATTAGAGGGTAAGAAAAAACAAAATGAATAGGTACTTTCTTAAATCCAGTGCTTGTCAAAATTTAATGTGCACATGAATCTCCTGGAGATCTTGTTAAAATGCAGATTCTGATTCAGTAGATCTAAGGTGGGCCTGAAATTCTGCATTTCTAATGAGCTCCAAGGTGATCCCTATTAATAAGGCCTAATCCCTTATAACTTTAACCTTCCTTGTCTTGGTTAGGATCACCACTCTGGAGATAATAAGGTAGTCATGGTCTCCATAGGTTGAAAGCTGTGAATTTTCAGCAACACCATTGAGTCAGATTGCCTTTTCTATTCTTTGAGAGTATCATGAGGGTTCCTTTAAAAATAAGGAGAGGATAAAGGTTTTAGATGTAGTATTGTAACAGCTTACATATGACCTAATTTTTTTCCTTTGCACGCATTTTAGTAATAGATAATATTTAAATAACTTGGGTTGCATACACAGCTTTTAGAAAATGTTCAAGTTGGGTTACACAAAGGCTTACCATAGCATAAGAAAATGAGATAACCAGAATTCAGAAGTAATTCCCATGTTGGAGGAGGGAAGTTTGAAAAATTATCCATTTTTAATAGAGGTCATGGGTTATCAATTGGAGGTTTTAAAACTTAAGATACAGAACGTGATGTTCCGAGCAGAGAAATGATGGCAGTTGCACTGAGCTATAATAATGTTTGGGTCTGCTGGGAATAGTAAGTCACAATCAGTAGGTAAGTTGATTGACTTCATTCATTCATTCATTCATTCATTCATGCAGCTATTCAATAAATACTTATTGAGCAAGCACCTGTTATATAAAAAGATCTATGCTAGGTGTTGAAGAGATACAAAGATAAATCAGCCCAGACGTTGCATTCAAGTTTATAACCTAGTACACAGGAAAGTGTCTGACTATATAGAGATAAAGGACAAACACTTATGGTAAATAGAACTTCAAAAAATCATTTTAATTACCCATAAGACTCCTACAAGAACCTTAGGTAAACTTTAATACCTCTGATAGCATGGTAGAAAGTAACAGAGACATGGTTTTATTTATTTTTTTAGTTTTTTTTAAAGATTTTATTTATTTATTTGACAGAGAGAGTGAGCACAAGCAGGGGGAGCAGTACAGGGAGAGGGAGAAGCAGGCTCTCTGCTGAGCAGGGAGCCCAATGTGGGACTCGATCCCAGGTCCCCGGGATCATGACCTGAGCCAAAGGCAGACACTTAACTGACGAGCGACCCAGGTGCCCTGGGATGTGGTTTTAATTCAGCAACATCTTTAGTAAGTATTTGAAAGCATTTGCATCATGAAAACCAGGCTTATGTATCTTGTGAACAGTATTTCTCTATATTTTTTATTTTTATTTTTTTTAAAGTAGGCTCCATACCCAGCATGGAGCCCAATGCGGGGCTTGAACTAACAACCCTGAGATCAAGACCTGAGCTGAGATCAAGAGTCTGATGCTTAACCAACTGAGCCACCCAGGTGCCCCAACTCAATACTTTATTAATAGAAAATATAAGCTTTTGATTGATTCTACAAACTCTTCTTTGACTTTCTTAAAACTAAAGGAAGCTTCCTCTAAGTATTGAAATTTATTTCCATGATTTTGCATTCTTTTCCAGCAATCCTAGACTATGATAGACATTATGCTGGCATCAAAATTTACCATATGGTAGTCTGTATCCTTGCCTAGGCATTGCCTCTGTCTAGGCACCAACTCAAAAGGTCTAGAGTTATTTTTTAAAAACTATCATTATAAAATCGGAGGGGGAGATGAACCATGATAGACGATGGACTCTGAGAAACAGACTGAGGGTTCTGGAGGGGAGGGGGTGGGAGGATGGGTTGGCCTGGTGATGGGTGTTAAGGAGGGTACGTTCTGCATGGAGCACTGGGTGTTATACACAAACAATGAATCATGGAACACTGCATCAAAAACTAATGATGTAATGTATGGTGATTAATATAACAATAAAAAATTTAAAAAAAAAGAAAACACACACACACACACAAAACAAAAAACTATCATTATAGCAAAAGTTCCCAGAAGCCAACTTAAAGAAGCTCCCACTGGCCCAAGATGGGATAATTTGAACATCAGAGAGAACTATCATTGCAAAGGATTGAACACATCAAATATATAAGATCCATGAGTTTGTAATGATGCCTACGTTCCCCTAAAACCTTCATTGTTCATTCTTGGAGGTTGCTAAGATACCAACTTATCACTCTGAGTATTGACAAACAAGGGAAATAATCACACCTTTATCTTACTGTATTTTACAGTAGCCAGAGTCTGTGAGGGTAGGTTCTTCTTCATAGAATTCAAATTAATAAATGCAGAAGAAATAATAGAATTTGAAAATCACCATCTTTTAACCCTAATGAAATACTAGACCTAGGCAATTATCATCAATGAAGGCTAAAGCCATCAAGTAAAAAGGTTGACCAGGAAACTCATAGTGGAGAGGATCAAACTAAGCTCCCGAAGCCACTTATCTATTTCAAGATGATCAAAAGTGGGACAAGCTGACATAAGCCTAATGATGTTGACGCAAGAAGACATGTACAGCATTACATATGAAATATTCTTGCCTGAAAAACTGAACCTGAAATGATCGAGTTTCTAGACACAAATACCAATTTACTGGAAATACAGGTGAAAGAACAAGTTAAATGACACACAGGAATCAAACAGCCGCAATGATTTCTAGAACACAGTAGTATTCAAAGTGTGTTTCTTGGACCAGCAGCTTCAGCATTAACCGGGCAAATGTTAGAAATGCAAATTCTTGGGGCCCTACCCCGGACCTATGGAATCAGAAACTCTGGGGGTGGGCCCAGAAAACTGTATCTTAATAAGACCTCCAGGGGGGTTGATGCATGCTCAAGTTTGAGAATTATGGGTCTAAAAAACTAATGCTAAAAAAATTTTTTTAAAGGGATACTGGAAGGGGGCCTCTTAAAGAATAAAAGACTCAAAAAACATAAAAACAAAATTAAATCAAGTGCCATGGGGAGTTACACCACTGCTATCCAGCAAACTTATTTAACCCAGTTTAAAAATGGTCACAGGAATCACCAGTAGGATGGCAAAAGGAACACTGAGTTTACACAAGCTTTTAATTCATAAGGAATTAATAATTTGGAATGGAATTCAAATGGAAATTTGAAAAAAAAGCCATGGATTACGTTTCCCATATTCTGTGACTTTCTTCCTTTCCTTCCATCTTTAGCTCTTTAAGGCGATCCCTGAGCTATTTAGAAGAAAAGAAGAAATTGACAAGTGTGTGGGAAAATGTTACTTACGTTATGTTTATGACAGAAATTAAGAGCTTGAAGTGTTTGCCATAATACACTTTTGATCACTCCATCAGCAACTCTGGGGGAAAGAAAATTAAAAAGGAAATGAAAACTCCTAAGATGGGGGGGGTCAGGAGAGGGAGCTGGGGCCAGAAAGGGAGTGGGTAGGGCTTGCCGTGGCCAACAAACATGGTGAAAAGGGTGTGCTGGAGATAGTTTTTTGAATGTGTTCATGAAAATTGCTTTACTGTGTAGTTTTCATTATAGATACATAATTTTCTTTCGTAATTTGAAAATTTTAGATCTGTAGAAATGGCATATGCTTATCACAAAAATCCAAGCAGTATCGCAAAGTAAAGGAATAGAAAGTGTTGACTCAAAACTTGCTACCCCAAACTTCTTGCTGTAGTATAAGTGGCTTTCTCTTCCGGCACCTCTGTTTCTTTCCCTCTCTCTGCATTTACTTTTTTTTCCTCTGCATTTACTTTTTAACTTTAGCTTTTTTTTTTAGAGACGGGGAGAGAGAGCAGGATTGGGAGAGGGGTAGAGGGAGAGGGAAGAGTCTTAAGCAGCTCCGTGCCCAGCACAGAGCCCAATGTGGGGCTCAATCTCATGACCCTGAGATCATGATCTGAGCCGAAATCGAGAGTCGGATGTTTAACAGACTGAGCCACGCAGGTGCCCCTTTAATTTTAGATCAATGCATTCATATGGCTCAAAATTTGAAGAGTATAAAAGTATATCCATGAAGAACTCTTTCTTATACCTGGCTAGTCACACATTTCATTCTCTGCAACTACTCCCCCCTCTTTCAGGAAGCTTGTATGCATAGAGGTACAAATACCAATGCTTTCACATCTATTTCATGGTCTTATTATATGGATGTGTCATAATTTACTTACTTAGTTCCCATTGGTGAGCAATTAGGTTGACTCAATTTTATTCCTAGAAACATTTCAATGAATATCCGTAATCGTCCATCCTACCACAGTTGTGCAATTATCTTTTTAAGGCAAGTTCTAGAAGTGGGATTTCTAGGACCAATGGTAGGCACATGTTACATTTGGATCCTGCAGATACGACCTTCAGATAGACCTAAAACCTGGTTTTGCAGGAAGAAAGGCATACTTGAAGACTGACTTCCAGCAGTTATGGTGGTAAACACACTCGAGTACATGCTGTAATTGTGTAACAGTTTCTTACACCTGGTGAGCAGGCAGGTACACAGCCAGGGGAGGCCAGAAGGAACACATATCCCATAAGAATGAGAGGCCGGGTGCTTCTTGTCCCTGTAGGATCCTGGAAATACTGGAAGGTATTTTCCATTGCAGAACTGGGGATCTGGGCAACTCACATTTTGTCTGGGAGTAGTCTACTTTGTGTAACCATCTCTATAAATTATAGCAATTACACTCCCTTTAACTTTCTGTTGATATCTTTCCATGGCTCACATCACTGTCCCATGATGGCGACTTCAGTTGCATATTGCCCACTGAACATCTGTGCATTCAAGTCCCTGTCTCCTCATTGTCTTGCCAACACCCAGTTTTGCCAATGTTATGTTTGCCAAAATGTGGTTAAACTAAAAAGATAGCTCATTTTGGTTTTCATTGGCATTTCATTAACTATTAGTGACTTTTGTTTTCACATGATTATTGGACATTACATGTCTTCTTTTCAGTATTTCCTGTTCATGGCCTTTATGTCTTTTTTGACTGGCCTGTTTACCCTTTTTAAAATTGATTCATGGGCGCCTGGGTGGCTCAGTTGGTTAAGCGACTGCCTTCGGCTTGGGTCCTGGGATCGAGCCCCGCATCGCGCTCCCTGCTCCGCGGGAAACCTGCTTCTCCCTCTCCCACTCCCCCTGCTTGTGTTCCCTTTCTCGCTGTCTCTCTGTCAAATAAATAAATAAAATCTTTAAAAAAAATAAAAATTGATTCATGAAGACTCAATATATACTGGAGTCTGCATTTGTGCTGCAAATATTTTTACCCATGTGTTGTTTGTTTCTCAACCCTCTTCGTGGGGATGGGGTGGCTGTTTGCAGAGTTTCGAAAATCTGAGACACAAGATGTCTTTTGCTGTCTACTGTAAGACTTTTTTATTTAAAAAGTTTAAAATGATCGAATATTCCAAACATACCCATTACTTGGCCTTAATGTTTTATCATACTTGGAAATTTAAATCGTATGTTTAGGTCACTTTTAAAAACTAAACTCATCCTGCAGCTGTTGTGGGTCTTACAGAGGGATGGGACAGCCTCTGTATGACTCAGGCATCGAACCAGCTACAAGACCTCACCATGCAAAGCTGTGGTACATGCCGAGAAAGAGCAACAAGTGCATGGAGGTATTTTTCTCAGGGCAGTTTTCTAACTTCAGGTGACAGTTATGACAGCACATTCTTGATATCCATGGTCTGGTGGCGGCCCTTTGACTCCAACTCTTCTAATTAAGTATTATTAATATTGTGAACAGCAAGAGGCCCCGAGGTGAGAAGGAACGGGGAGGGTAGAAGAAACAATTAGGAGGCCAGTGTGGCCAAAATGAGTGAAGAAGTTGGTGAGGCTGTTAGATCTCTAACCGCCAAGGGCCTTAGAGATCTGGGTAAGTAGTTTGGATTTTACTCTAAGCCTAGAGGAAAGTCATTGAAAGGACTCAAGAAAGCAAGTGGCGTAATATGGAAAGTGGATTTCTGTGGGCAGAATGGAGACAGGGAGGTTGATGAGGGGGGCAGATTTAATAATGCAGGTGAGATCTGGTGATGTTGGTCAGAGAGGTGGCGGTGGAGGGAAGGGAAATGGACTTCAGGCCTTGCAAGGACCTGCAAGAGAAACACGTAGACACGGAATGCTGGGCGGGGTCTAAGCACCGCAGGGACGGGGTATCAAGTCCTGGAATCGGGAAACAAGATAGGGGCGAGGGTTCAGAGACTGGTGGAACTGAGGTTCCTAGCGCTGATAACATGGATCCGGGCACGAATGAATGCCGTAGCAAAGTCCCGAGCTCTTGCTGTGGAAGGGGAACTTTTGTTTCGTGGCTTCTCATGGGAACGGGTCATGGCTCTGCTCGAAACAGAACAGCTTCGACTCCAAGAAGGCAGGTTCCATTGTAGGCAACACAGCGTATGTACAAAATACCAGCTACAAACACATACCACCGATCTTACAAAGAGAAGATAGTTATCAGAGAGAAGACAGATTCGCACAGGGCTCATTCCAGAAAGATAGAGGATTGCAACATGATTCAGCCACAGGCAGCATGTTTCAAAGTGCTTTGAGGTGAAACAAAACCTTCAGAAGAAGTCAGCTGACACTCGGTGTTTAAATATTATAGGCTGGGTGAGGGCAGAGACAAATACTGCAAGGCACGGTGAAGGCCTGAGAGCAAAAACTAGACATCCTAGCTCAAGACTGAAGAAGGGTGTCTCGAGGTGGGAATGCCAACTTGATTGCTGGGGGACTGGCTCTCTCCGTCACTCAGAGGGGTCCTGCTGTGGACATCAGGACTCATCAGCTTTGCCTTAATTCCTTATATAACTTCACAGGGGGAAAACCTGAGTTCACTGTCAGTACCCGAGACTAAGTGAGTCCTCAGTCAACCCTTGCTATCCGAGACTACAAGCCCATCTCGACTCCAGTCTGCCATCCCCTTCACACCACCACTTCGGTTAACCTCCTCCCCTTCTGTCTCCTCCCGTATTCCCACAGATACTTCACCCCAGCCCCACTGGTTTCCACCATTTCCTGAGCATGCCCGGCTTCTTTGCGCCTCCAGATCTTTGTGTTCATTGTTCATTCTCCTCCCCTCCCTGTGCTTTCCTTCCATTCAGGGACTTTGTCTCATTGACTACCATGGCTCTGGGGCCTCGATGGTACCTGGTATCTAGTAGGTACTTAACTAAGCTTGTTTCTCTGGCACTCTTGGAAATTTTATAAACTAGCACCCTGTCCTAAGTCCCTTTCTGCTTACACCAGCTGGAGTGAATTCTGTTGTTGAACCCTGACCGGTTCAGAATACGCTACCAGAAGCGGATGTGGGCCACAGACTAAGGCCTTGGGAATTGGGGATTGGCTATCTGATTTAATTGGGTTTAAAGGCAGGAGAACCTGATTACCATTAGTGACTGGACTAGCTGGTAGATGGGTACCGAGATGAAACAGTTGTTAAATCATCACCTGTGGTCATCTGGAATAAAATGCCTATTCAAGGCAAGCCTTTGCCTGACTGAGTGTGACAGAATAATATGGGAAACATAAATAATACAAGAAAAGGGGGGGGGGTTGGCTCTAACTTCATGAGAAATTTTTATAAAGGACAGAGATAGGGCTTTAATATCTTCATTCAACGCAGTTAGGAAACCAGAAGTTTCAGTGCTTGCACTAAAAGAACCCGTTATTACTTGTATCTTTAGGACTCACTTCATGGATCTATAAGAATAACATGAAATGACTGAAGAATCAAACACGGAGAATAATCCTGCAGGATGCTAAGTGACAACATAGATATAACTTATGTGAGGTTAATTAATTTCTCAGTTATAATTAACTGAGAAAGAGCTACCTATACTTCAAGAATTGAAATGTGGCACTCAGGGGTATTCATATAATTAAGAGCACCCCAACTTCCTACCAAACATCCTGTCTCAGGCAAACTAGCCCCCAAACTCGTATGATGAGGCTGGTTTTGCCTTGACGAGAACCCTCTAATGTTCTCACTTGAGGTAGCTGTGTTGCATGGGGATGCCAATTCTTCTCAGACCTTGAGAGGTCCCTAAACCTTAACTAAAGTCAGAGTTCAGCATATCCCACAGGGCCTATTACAAAGTCAAACAGAGGAAAAGGTTTACACAGCAAAAGAACTATAAGATATTGCTAATTTACAATGGGGAATGCCTGTGAGCATGGATTTCACTGATGTAGGACCAGAGGGGAAGAATCAGAATTTTCAACTGGGCCGATTATAACAATACGGGCACACTTACTAGAGATTCCAGTTTCACCAGATGACCTGGAACAGCTAGGAATGAGTCTAGCTGATTGCTAAACTGGTTGACTGAAACCTGGCTAAAGGATTGCCT